GCTTTTTTTTTTCTTTTTAAAAAAAAAAAAAAAAACTGTTCGAAGCGATAGGGGGGGCGGGACGGGGGACCGCCTCAGGAGGTTCTGGACGGTTTTTTTGGGCCTCAAAAATCGTCCGCTGTTAAGACGGTTTTGGAAGCTGAGGTTTTCATTTCAAGGGACCCCAAAGAACGGTCCAGCCCGAACGAGAGCTCCAGACGGTCCAAGGCGCCCCCAGGACGGCCAAGAGGCGCCCAAGACAGGCACGAGACCCAAATGCCCGGAAAGAGCGGCCCAAGATGGCTCCAAGACGGCCCGAGGACCGCCCAAGAAGGCCCTAGGGGGCCCCAAGACAGCCCAAGGGGCGCGATAGACGAGCCCAGAGAGGCCCAAGAGGCCCCCAGGAGCCCCAAAGAGGTCCCCAAGAGGTGCCACTGGGCTTAAAAACTGCTTCGAAGCGAGGGGGGCGGACGAGGGGACCGCCTCAGGAGGTTTTGGACGGTTTTGGGCCTCAACATCATCCGCTTTACTACGGTTTTGGAAGGATTTTGGCCTTCTCGCCTTTTCCGCTTTCCGACGCTCGAAGACGGCCCAAGAGGCCTCCAAGAGCGCCCCAGAACGGCCCAAGAGGTTTCTAAGAGCGCCCCAAGACAGCCCAAGAGGGCCCCAAGGCGACCCAAGAGACGCTCAAGACGGCCCACGAGGGCCCGAAGACAGGCCCAAGAGGGGGCCAAGAGAAGGACCACGGACCGAAACTCCGAGCCTTCCGCCCCAAGAGGGCGCCAGGAGGCCCAAACAGGCCCCAAAGAGGCCCCAAGGGGCCGCCAGAATCCACCCGAAGGGCCCCAGGAGGTACCAAGGAGCCCGACGAGGGCCCCTACAGAGGCCCCAACATGCGTCCAAAAATGTCCTTGCTTATCTCTAACGGCTTGGCCCGAAGAGGCTCGAGGCCCGCTCCGAGCTTCCTCGCTGCGAGGGTGCCAACACGGCCCCAGACGGGCCCAGCACGGCCCAAGGCACGCTCGAGACGGCCCAAGACGACTCCAAGACGGTCCCAGGCGGGTGCCAACACGGCCACAGACAGGCCCAGGACGGCCCAAGGAGGCGCCCGGTCGGGGCCTCAAGACGGGCCAAGATGGCAAGACAGCCCCAGCTGGCAAACATCGTTTATTTTCCATTGTTTATTGTTACAGCCTTTGCGTTTCCCGCCATTTCGGCGGTCGGATGCCCCAAGAGGCCCCAGAAAGTCCCAGGAGGGTCCGAGGAAACGCCCAGGAAGGCCCCAAGACGGGCCAAGACGGCCCCAGCACAACCCAAGGCGCGCTGCGACGGCTCAAGACGGCTCCCACCCTCCCCCCCCCCCCCCCCCCCCCTCCCCAAGGACCCCCCCCCCCACCAACCAAGACCCAAGACAGCCCCAAGAGGGTGCCAACACGGCCACTGCTGGGCCCAGGACGGCCCAAGGAGGCGCACAGGAGGGGCCCAAGACGACTCCAAGGCGGCCTCCTCACGGTCCCAGACGGCTCCAAGACAGCCCCACGAGGACCCCGATGGGCCCAGGCCAGGACGGCCCACGGACGCGCCCATGAGGGGCCCTCGACGAACCAAGACGGCCCCATCAGGGCAAACGGCGCCGTCAAGACAGGCCTAGACGGCTCCAAGACGGCCCTTTATTTCTCCATTCTTTTTCACTCTTTCCTTTTCTTTCGTTGTCTTTATTTTCATATTTTTTCTTTTCTTCTATTGCCTTTTTTTCCTTTTTTTTCTTGAGGGAGCCAACCGCGGCCCCACACCCTTCGGGCGACACACTTGGGGGGGTTGGGGAGCTTGCGACAAACTCTCCCACATTTCATGTCGGCCCCATTCTGTTCGCCTGGAGGCCTCCTCCAACCCTGTGGGCGAGCAAGAGGAATCCCAGCGGCACGCCAACCCTGGGGCCCGTGGGCCCCGCGCCGCTTGGGCAGAAGACGAACGCCGGGTCTGACAGGCCAGCTACCGCCCCCCTTTGCCCGATATGCTGTGCCATTATGTTCCCCCAGGGGCCTTGGCAAACTCTTCGGGCCAAGCAGACCGGACCCCTGGGACAGCAGCCAATTGATATGACCCTGGGACCTCTCCGCATTCTTCGGACGAGCACCTGGGGGGCCCAGGAGATTCGGACAAGTCTTCCCATTCCTTGCCCTGTCCCGTTCTGCTCGCCCGAAGGCCTCCACAGACCCTCTGGGCGAACAGAATGGGACATGGCGAACAAACCCTCCCGTTGGCGGTGATGCGACTGGATCGCACCATCAAGGCGCGCCCGGAGGTGATGGCCGACCCAACAGCGGTTTCTCTTAAGAGTTCACTGGATTAAATTTTCTTGAAGCTCTCTTGGGCCCTCCCTGTAGATCCTTGCGAGCCTCCCCGGCGCTTTCGGTGGCTTTCCCCGATGGCCTCCCGAGCCCTTATCCGAGCGCTCCTGAGACGCCTCAGATGGGCTTCGACTTCGACGCACATCCCCGAGAGACTTCGAAACTGTCCTCAATAGGAGGGGGGTGAACGAGCAGTGCGCTGGGCCAATCTGCTGCAGCGCTGCAAGAGCTCGGACACGAAGGCGCGGTCTCGCTGCCGCCGCCCGAGCCGCCGCCGTGTTTGTAGATTTTCGGTACAATCTGCGCCGTTCCTCCGAGAACCATTCCAGAAAGATGTCGTGGACGGAGTCCACGGGTCAGCCCTAGTCTCTACTACATTGCAGGGCCCAGTGCGTGCCAGAATGGTGCAGGCTCCAATGAACCAAAACCGCCCCGGGCTGGCTCCGGGCCGCCCAGGGAGGCCCCAAGACACGTCCAGAGGGCCCCAAAAATCCCCCAAGACGGCCCCGGAGAGCCCCGGCACGCTTAAAGATGCGCCCAAGACGTCCGAGAGTCGCCCCAGGAGGCCCTCGAGGCGTCCAAGACGCCCGAAGAGGCCTCCCAAGAGGGCTCCGAGCGACAGAAATCGTCGAGTTCAATCGTGTTTTTCAATGTTTTCGGCCTCCTCGCCTCGTCGGCTTCCCGACGCTCCAAGACGGCCCAAGACGCCCCCCCGACCGCTCCAAGACGGCCGAAGAGGACCCCAAGAGAGCCCCAAGACGGGCCAGGAGGGCCCCAAGACGGTCCCAAGACGCCGCAGGACGGCGTCCGGACGGCCCAGGAGGCGCCCAAGACGGCCCTAGAGGCACCCAAGACGGCCCCAGGAGCGGCCCAAGACGGCCCACGACAGCCGAAGAGGCGCCAAGGAGGGCCTCAGACGGCCCCAAGACGGCCCAAGAGGCACCCAAGACGGCCCGAGAGGGCCCTAAGAGCCCCCCCGGGAGGCCCAAACGAAGGCCGAATAGGCTCCGAAACGGCCCCTACGAAGCCTTCAGTGCCTTCAGAATTCCTTCCAGGAGCGGGGGAGCGGACGAGAGGCGACACGTGCGCTGGGCGCCTGAGCGGCCCCGTCGGAGAAGATCGCAGGGACGGGGACATCACGATGGCGAGCACCCCGCGCCATCACGACGTCGTGGACCGCGACGTCCGCCATTCTTGCGGGGAGTGCGCCCCGCATGTGCAGGCGCCGTATTTTAGTTGCGTTTGCACCTCCTATCTTCGGTTCCCACCACGCCTCCTATCCCAATCACCTGAACTTGCTCGCACTCCTGGCCATGCAGCCGCCATCCCTGTTGCCGTCGCCGTCGTCGTCACATCCGTGAGCTGGACGGGGCCTTCTCAGCAAAGGCAGAGGGGGGACGGAACGACGACGCCGACGGCCACGACTACGACGAAGGCAATGACGACGACGACGACGACGACGACGACGACGACGACGACGACGACGACGACGACGACGACGACCACGGCGGCAGCGTCGGCGGCAGCGTCGGCGGCCGCGACGGCGACGACGCCAGCAGCGACGCCGACGGCGACGGTGACGGCGACGGCAAATGCGACGTCGACGGCGCCGCCACGGGAGGGTCCCGACGAGGGCTCCGTACTTTCCCGGGCCCCCGAAGCAGACCGTCACGCAGACAGGCGCGCTCCGACGACCTCCGAGCAGCAGCAGCAGCTGAGGAACACAGGAGAGCAGGAGGTCCTGGAGGGTGTGGAGAGCGCCTTCAACTGGCCACGTCGAGCTGATGTCGTGGACGGAGTCCACAGGTCTGCCCTAGTCAGCTACAACCCTGGGATCAGCGCGTGCGAAAAGGGCGAGCAGTGGCAGCGGGCGCTGGAGCTGCTGAGCCAGATGTGGGAGGTGAAACTGGAGCCCGACGCCATATATTCCAGAATACCTGGAGCAGCGTGTGGAAGGTGCCATTCGTTGCAAAGCCGCCAGTAGGACTCGCCCCAGACGGCCAAAGAGAGTCCCGGAAGCTTCCAAGTTCGCCGAAGATGCCCCCAATCCTGTCGAGGATGGTCTCAGGATGGCCCAAGATGGCGTCCAGACGGCTTCGGAGAGTCCCAGGATAGCTCAAGACGGCCTCCAAGCGGTCGAAAAGCCTTCCAAAAGGCCCCCAGAGCGCTCCAAGAGCACTCCCAGCAGGACCTCCCGGTGCAGGTTTATGCGGCTCGTGCGAGCCCAGACGGCCCAATACGGCGCAAGAGAGTCCCAATACAGCTTGAGACGGCGCGAGAGACGACCCAAGATGGCCAAGAGTTGGCCCACTAGAGCCCCAGGTGCATACCAAGACGGCCCCAAGAGCGCTCCCAGAGAGCCCGAAGAGTCCCCCTAACGGATGGCACAACGCACCCGCCTGTTGTAGCATCCGTCGGGGGCTTCCTGAGGGCCGTCTTCGGGCCCTTTCGAGCTCCCCTGTGTGCAATTTTCGAGGTCCTCCAGGTGCTCCCAGAACTTCCTGCAAGGCTGCAAGACGGCCCAAGAGAGCTGCAAGAGAGTTCAGGGAACGCCCGGAGACGGCGCAAGAGGCGACCAAGACGACCGAAGATGGCCCAGAGATGGCCCCGCCCGCCGCGTTCCGCTGCCAGGGTACCTGCGGATTTGTTCCACGGGTACACACTGGTCAGCTACAGCGCTGGGATCAGCGCGTGCGAGAAAGGCGAGCAGTGGCACTGGGCGCTCGCGCTGCTGAGCGAGATGTGTGAGGCGAAGCTGGAGCCCGACGTCATTCCCTCGTACAATGCAGGGACGTGTGCGTGCAGGAAGGATCCGTGAATCGAGTGGCTCACGGCGGCTCCGAGCCGCTCATGACGGCGCTCCGAAGGCCCCAGCCAGAGACGCCTCCCTCCCTCCCTCCCCTCCCTCCCTCGGGCGCCCCGACGGCCCCAAGACGGCTCGGAACGCTCCAGAAGCCACCCCGACGGCCCCAGAGGACTCCCAGCGAGCCCAAGGGTGGCCCGAGAGGGTCCGGAAACAGGCCTGGTGGAATCGAAAGCGGCCCCTCGCTGACGGCCCCCGGCGGCCAAAATCACAGATATCCGATCGGTTTTGAAGCATGTTCACGCTCTCGCCATACTCGGCCAAGAACGGCCCAAGACAGCTCCAGGACCCAGTCAGATCGCTCCACGACGGTACAACAGGCCCCCAAGAGGACCCCAAGATTGCGCAAGATGGTTCCACGACGTCCCAACAGGCGACCAAGACGGCCCAAGAGACACCCAGAACAGCCCTCAAAGCGTCCCGTCCCCAGACGGCCCGGGACTGCCCCAGGACGGCCCAAGAGCGACCTAAGACGGCCCCAAACGGCTCCCAGACAGCCCAAGAGGCAGCCAAGACGCCTCCAAACGGCCCCAAAACGACCTCAGATGCACCCTACACGGCCCAAAATGGCTGCCAGAAGCCCCTGGGAAGCCGAAAAGAAGCCCCAAGAGGCCCCCAAACGGCCGCCAGGAGTCCCTCGGTGGCTTCCGCGTTGCTTCGGAGCGGACGAGAGGCGAGCAGCGGATAGAAGGCCCCACAGAGCCGTTTTGAACAGTCCGATCGAGCGACAGAGGGGAGAAGGAAGATGAGGAGGAGGAGGAGGAGGAGGAAGATCCAGCAGTAAGCGGTAAGCAGCAGCAGCAGCGAGCATCAGCAACAGCAAAGCACCATTCGCAACACATGTCGCACACAGAACCTCATTACGGCTTATCGCTGCCTTGTGCTCCATTCTGGAGTCGGTGGTTCTGGTCACATGCGCGCGTCGACCTTCAAGGCTACAATCCGAGCTCGCCCAGGCCCTGCGTCTGATGTCCGTGGACCGCCCGAACATGCACAACGTCGAGGCAGGGGGCGGAGGAGCAGGAAGAGGAGGGTGACGCTGCCGCCATGCCGATCGCCTTTCGGCAGCATCTCCGCCGCTCCTGCGAGAACCATTTCAGAAAGATTGCGTGGACAGGGTCCACGGGTCAGCCCTAGTCTGCACTACAATTCTGGTCGTTGCGCGTGCGAGATGTGCCAGCAGTGCGGCAGCTGCCCCCGACCACCTGGAGCGCCCCGCCGCTCTCCGACGGCTCCAGAGAGCCCCCGGGTGGCTCAAACACTGCCTTTGGCAGCCCGAATGTCGCTCCGAGTCGCTCTGGAGGGCGCGAGGACGTCCCAGGAGGTCCCCAACCGAGCTCCGCAGCAGCCCAGGACGGCCCGACGACGGGCCAGGTGCCTCCGAAGGCGGCACAGCCGGACCCCGATGACGGTCCCCGAGGCTACTAAAACCACTGATGTTCCTAGGGTTTGTGCAGATTTCCCATGTTCTCGCCTTTTCGGCTTAAGAACGGCCCCAGACGGCTTCAGGGCCATCCTAGATCGCCCCAAGACGTTCCAGGATGCCTCGCCAAGAGCCCCAAGACGGCTCCAGAGGCTCCGACTGCCCAGCAGAAGCCCAAGACAGCCTCAGAGCCCCTGATGACTCCCAAGACAGCCGCCCCTTAGATGGCCAAAGAGACCACCGCAACGGCCAAGAGGGCCCCTAGAGACTCCAGAGAGAACCCCACGAGGGCTCCAAGAGTGGCCGAAGGAAGGCCAGATGACTCCTTTCCCGCAGCCCCCAATGGGCCAAGAACCCTCCAAGGACCACTCCCACATGCCCCAGAGTCTGTCATTAGACTCCGATGGTTCCCACGGAGCACCCAGGGAGAGTGCCTCGAGCCATGGCACCCTTCCGCCGTCCCTCGAACCCCAAACGCCCCCAAGACAGCCCCAGACCCCCACAGCAGGCCCCAGACCACTCCGAGATGCCCCCAGAGCATCCCGGAGCCTCCTGAGAGCGTTTTCGATAGTCCCCACGGAGCTCCCCAGAGCGGTCCCAGGGCCGCTCCGAGATGCTCCAGAGTCGCCCACAAGGCTCCGACGCTGGCCAAGAGACTCCGACAGTTCCCACAGAGCTCCCCAGAGCGGTCCCAGGAAGAGACTCCCATAGTGCACAGCTCCCACGCAGCTCCCAAGAGCGATCCCATGACCATTCCGAGTTGGCCCAAAGTCTCCCTCAAGACCTCCCCCCCTGCAGCCGATTAAGGGTGACAGGGGGGCCTGAACTTTTCCCTCCTTCCCTCATCGAGGCTTCGGCCGCTCTGGGGCCTCCACTCCGCGCCTGTTTAGGGTTGACAGGTGGGACCTACAGCCACTTCGGTCGCTCCCCATCTACGGCCGATCAGGGGTCGCAGAGGGGGTGGGCCTGCAGACACTGCGGGGGCCAGCATCTCGCTCCCCCCTTCGGCCGAGTAGAGCCCTCGGTGGCCCCAAAGGCACCCACAAGACCAGGAGATCCCTCCCTGGACAACCCCGAGATGGCGCAGACCCCCCCATGATCTTCGAAGACAGGTTCCAGCCCAGGTTCCCGGAGCCTGCAGCAAACCCTGCAGCTAACCTCAGGGGTGGCAGGGGGGGCCTGCTGACAGCACCCTCACAGCACATGACGTTTCCTGGGCTGTCCCCCAGAAGAGGCTCTGAGGAAAAGCCCGGGAACGGGCCCAGAGGTGCCCAAAAATGACAAGAGCCTTTCACGACTTCATGACGCCCAGGACAGGCTCGCAGGAGGGCCCACCTTGCCCCAAACACGACCCCAGGGACGCCCGAGCTGTTCAATTTCGGCGAGTTGTTCAACCACGGCGTGCGAGTCCCAGGCTCAGCACACTGTGGATTTCATCCGCTTGCTCACACTAGTCACCTACACTGCTGGGATTAGCGCGTGCGAGTCGAGCGAGCAGTGGCAGTGGGCGTTCGAGTTGATGAGCGAAATGAAGGAGGCGAAGCTGAAGCCCAACATCATCAGCTACAGTGCTGGGATCAGCGCGTGCGAGAAGGGAGAGCAGTGGCAGCGGGCGCTGGCGCTGCTGAGCGAGATGTGTGAGGCGAAGCTGGAGCCCGACGTCATCTGTATTTCACTTCTGGTCGTTGCGCGTGAGAGTCGTGCCAGCAATGCGCCAGCTGTCCTCGGCCGCCCGGAGGGTCCCGCCGCTCCCCGACGGCTCCAGAGAGCCCCCCAGGCTGCTCCAGCACGGCCTCGGGCAGCCGGAATATCGCAGTGAGACGCTCCAAAGGGAGCGAGGACATCCCAAGCGAGCCCGGATTTCAGCTCCATGGCAGCCCAGCACGACCTGACGACAGGCCAGGTGCCTCCGGCGGCTGCTCAGCCAGACCCCGATGACCGCCCTCCGAGGCCAGAATCATAGATTTCCCTGTGGTGTTCGACGGTTTCCCATGTTCTCGCAAGTTCGCTCCAAGAGCGGCCCCAGACAGCTCCAGGGCCATCCCAGACCGTGATCGTCTTTTTATTCACTGTTTTCCCGATCGGCACGGGCCCCCCACCAGCCCCATAGAGTAGATCTTGGTTGTTGTTTGGCGCCTGTTTCGAGCAGGTGGGGACTCCCCGGAGGCAGCACTCTTGCAAACAGTCGCACTGAGCAGAGATCCAGAGCCAGACCCCCCCCGCTCCCCCCCCTTCCTCCCAACGTCGAAACGCCGAATAAGAACAAACGCTCACATCGTCCAAGGACGGTTCTGGAGGCCCCGCCGAGTGCCCCAAGACGGCCGCCGAGGGCCCGAAGACTGCCCAGGAGCAGCCCGAGGCAGCCTCCCACTCACGGAGAGCACCTGGGGGCCCCCCTCAGACAGCCCCGCGCGGCCCCAGGAGCTGCCCAACAGGCACCACAGCGAGCTCCACGGCCGGAGACCCCCACCGTGGCCCCAGGAAGGCTCACCCAAGAGAGCTTTAAAATAAGCCAACAGGCCCCTTCCTCCTCCCTCCTCCCACCTCCGCCTCTCCTCCCCGCTTCCGCTTCCGCACGCCGCCTCCTCCTCCTCCTCCTCCTCCTCCCTCCCTCCTCCTCCTCCTCCTCCTCCTCCTCCTCCTCCTCCTCCTCCTCCTCCTCCTCCTCCTCCTCCTCCTCCTCCCCCGGAGGCTCTGGAGAAACCCTCAACAGGGGTCGAAGCTGGGCCGACGGGAGGCCAGAGGACTCCCTTCCCGCAGCCCCCGATGGGCCGAAATCTCTCCAAGGACCGTCCCCCCGTGCCCCAGAGTCTCCCATCACCCTCGGATGGTTCTCCAGGAGCTCCCCAGGAGAGTGCCTCCAGCCACGGCCCCCTTCCGCCGTCCCTCGAACCCCAACCGCCCCCAAGAGAGCCCCAGACCCCCACAGCAGGCCCCAGACCACTCCGAGATGCCCCAGAGGCTCCCAAGAGGCTCTGACAGTTCCCACGGAGCTCCCCAGAGCGGTCCCAGGGCCACTCCGAGATGCTCCAGAGTCGCCCACAAGACTCCGACAGTTCCCACGGAGCTTCCAAGAAAGTCCCAGGAAGAGACACCCATGGTTCACACGTGGCTCCCAAGAGCGACCCCAGGACCACTCCGAGATGGCCCAGGGTCGCCCTGAAGGCCCCCCCCCACGGCCGACTAGGGGTGACAGGGGGGACCTTCTCCGCTGGTCTATTCCTGATTCCTTCATCGGGGCTCCGGCCGCTCAGGGGCCTCCACTCTTGCCACTTCGGTCGCTCCCTCACTACGGCTGATCAGGGGTGACAGGTAGGGGGGGGGCCTGCAGACACTGCGGGCCCAGCATCTCGCTCTGCCCCTACGGCCGACTAGGGGTGACAGGTGGGTGTCCCTCGTCAAGTCCCAGAGCCTGGAGCCTGCATTAAACCCGAGGACCTGTCGGTCCCAAGCGCCCACGTGTCGCCTGCGATCGACGTTACGTGCGCATTCGGGACCAACACCTTGACTTTCCAGCCTTGGATGTCCACGGGTTCAGACAAGTCAGCTGCAATGCTGGGATCAGCGCGTTACGTGCGCATTCGGGACCAACACCTTGACTTTCCAGCCTTGGATGTCCACGGGTTCAGACAAGTCAGCTGCAATGCTGGGATCAGCGCGTGCGAGAAAGGCAGGCAATGGCAGATGGCTCTGTCGCTGCTCAGCGAGATGTGGAACATGAAGCTTGTGCCCGACTCCATCAGCCGCAGCGCTGGGATTTTGGCTTGCGGTAGAAGCGGGCTCGAGCAACGGGCGATTTGGTTGCTCAAGGAGGCGTGCAATGTACAGCTTGAGTCCAATGTTGCTAGCTTCGTCGATGCAATCATTATTGCCTTGCGCGGGTAATTGCAGAGCAGGCTCAATGTCAATCCTGGGGTCAACGCCTGCCAGCAAGGCAACTAGCCGCAGCACGCTCTAGGGAGATGGGAGAAATCGAAGATGGAGCCACACGTCATTAACGACAACGCTAGCACGAGCGCGAGCGAGAATAGTCAAAGCTGGCAGCGGGCCTTGTTGTTGTTCAGCGAGGTTGGGATACGAGGTTGGAGCTCCAACAGGAATCGGAGCGCGCGAGAAGGCTGAGCGAGTTCACCAGATCCAGGTCGTCCTCGGGAAGGTTCGTCCGAGAAAACTTGACCTGGACATCATCCGTGGCTGTGGCCCTGTGGCCGGGCCGTGCGAGCAGGGCAGGCACTGGAAGCGGGTGCCAGTATGGTCCGACGTGGCCAGCTGCAGCGACGGGACCAGCGCGTGCGAGAGGGGCACGTAGTGGCAGTGGGCGCGCGCACTGCCGAGCGAGAGGCGGGAGGCGAGGCTGGAGCCCGACGTCATCGATCCCGCACTGCCGGCAGCAGCGCGCCTGGACGGTGCCTATCGTGGCAGAGCCCAGGGCTGGGGCTGGGCCGCCGGGAGGGTCTGCACCTCTCGCAGACGGCCCACGCCAGCTCGAGAGGCTCCCAAGGTTGCCGAGGTGCGTTTCCAGTGCGGCCGAGCATGGCCTCGAGACGGCCCAGGATGGCTTCCAGATGGCCTCAAGAGGGGCCCAACATCATTTTCACCGAACGCCTTCCACTACTCGCAAAGTGCCCGCTCGCAGACTTCCGAACAGTAGTGGATCGTAGATCCCCCTCGGCGGATCCGGGCCATCTGCGAGCAGTTACTTTGCGAGTAGTGGAGCGCGCTTTTCTACACGTAGCCCAAGGCGGGCTTCAGACGGCCGAAACGCTTGCCGTAAGGCCCTAAAGGCTTCCGCCTGATTTCCCCCATCCGAGCGATAGCATATACGGCTTTGGAGCCCTTGCAGAGCCCACGAGGCCCGAGATCGCCCCAAGCTAACCCAAGAGGCTCCTCCTCCTCCTCCTCCTCCTCCTCCTCCTCCTCCTCCTCCTCCTCCTCCTCCTCCTCCTCCTCCTCCTCCTCATGAGAATCTTCCAATGCGGCCTGAGAGGACCCCGAGCGTCCCAAGACGGCGAAGAGATCCCCACGACGGCCCACGGGGCGCCCAAGACCACCCAAGATAGCCCAGATGGTCTTTGGAGCCCCGGGTGCACCCCAAGACGGCCCCCAAGTACGCTCCCAGGGAGCCCGCAGAGGCCCCCCAACGGATAATTACTACAACGCACCCCCCCTTGTTGTAGCATCCGTCGGGTGCTTTCTAGGGGCCCTCGTTGGGGCCGTCTTCGGGCCCTCTCGAGCTCCTCTGTGTGCAATTTTCGAGGTCATCCTGGCGCTCCCAGAACCTCCTGCAAGGCTGCAGGACGGCCCAAGAGAGCTGCACGACAGCTCAGGGAAGCCCTAAGACGGCGCAAGAGGCGCCCAAGACGACCCAAGACGCCCGCCGCGTTCCCCTGTCAGTGTATCTGCGGACTTGCCCTACGGGTATACACTAGTCTATATTACAATACCTGGAACAGTGCGTGCCAGAAGGGTTCTTGCACCGAGTGTTTTCTGGCGGCTCCGAGCTGCTGGAGAGGGCGGCCCGGCGGCCCCGCGACGGCTCCGAGACCCGCCAGAGACCGCCCCGACGGCCACGACCCCAAGGCAGCTCCGAGCCGCTCCAGAGGCTACCCCGACGACCCCAGGAGCGCTGCGAGCCGCTCAAGAGGCCGCTCCGATGGCACCAGGAGCCCTCAGGGCAGGCCAGGAGCCTCCGAAGACGGCCCTCGAGGATTCCCCAGCGCAGCCCCGAGACGCGCAAATCGCTGCATTCCCTTCGGAAAACTCGCATTTGGGGTATTCTCGTGCTTTGCGTCTCCGACGCACGGCGGCCACAGAGCCCCCCACGATCGTCTCAAGATGCACCCAGCTGGGCCCCAAGAGGGGCCCAGGACGGCCCAAGAGGCGCCCAGAGGCGGCCCAAGAGGCACCCCAAGACGGCCCCAAAGACGGCCCCAGACGGCCCAAGCCGGCCCAAGCACGACCCACTAGGCGCCCAAGACGGCCCACGACGGCCCAGAGACGACCCAGAAGGCACCCAAGACAGCCCCAACAGCCGCCCAAGACGTCCAAGACGTCCCCCAGAAGGCCCAAGATGTGCCCAAGACAGCCCAAGACGGTTTCGAGACGGTCCTAACGGCACCGACTAGAGCCTAAGAGGGCCCCAAGAGGCCCCCTCGAAGCCGAAAAGAAGCCCCAAGGGGCCCCCACACGGCCCCCAAGAGGCCCACGTGGCTAACAGAATTCCCTCCAACGGAGGTGGGGCGGACGAGAGGTGGAAGGCAGAACGCGGGCCCCAACAGCCGTTTTCGATGCTCCGAGGGTCTACGAGTCACGATCCAAGATCCAGGGCATGCAGGATCGAGGCAACAAAAGCGGAGGAGGAGGAGAGGAGGAGGGGTGGTGGGGGGGGGGGGGGGGGGGGGTGGGGGAGAGGGGGGGGGGGGGGAGAGGGGAGGGGGGACGGAGAGAGGAGGCGGGAGGATAGGAGGTGGTTTCGGCCCCCCTGGACATTTTGGATGAGGAGGAGGAGGAGGAGGAGGAGGACGAGGAGGAGGAGGAGGAGGGAGCAGGAGGAGCAGGAGCAGGAGGAGGAGGAGGAGGAGTAGGAGGAGGAGGAGGAGGAGGAGGAGGGGGAGGAGTAGGAGGAGGAGGAGGAGGAGGAGGAGGAGGAGGAGGAGGTGGAAACCCGAGAAGGCCCAGAAGAGAGCCTCTTGAGGGTCCAGATGACGTGTGGAGCTCTGAACGTGGCCCCAAGACGGACCGAGATGAGCCCAGACGGCCCAAGAGGGTCCCAAAAGGCCCCGAAGAGGCCCACAAGAGAGCCCGAGAGGAGGGTGGCCGGCGCTCCTGACACGGCCAGCAAGGCGCTGAAACGAGCCACACTTTGTTGCCTAGATGCTTGCACTGGGAACTGCGCGGAGGATAGCGCCAGGGGGAGTGCGCAAAACAACAAAAAGCTTCGCTTTAAACAGAACTACATCAACACGGCCTTCCCAACGTAGCGGGGCACGTCCGACCCAACAGCGGTTCTTGATAAGATCTCATCACATGTCACACCACCCTCTTGGAGCTCTCTTGGACCCCCCCGTGGGGGTCCTTGCGAGCCTCCCCAGCGCTCCTGGTGGCTTTCCCCGGGGGCCTCGCGAGCCCATCCCTGGGCGCTCCTGAGACGCCTCAGATGGGCTTCGACTTTGAAGCGCATCTCCGAGAGACTTCAAAGCTGCCCTCCGTAGGAGGGGTGCGAACGAGCCGTGCGCCGGGGCCAAGCTGCTGGAGCGCTGAAAAGAGCTCGGACACGAGGGCGCGGTGGGCTCGCCTTTTGGGGGGTCTCGGCGCTCCAAGACGGCCCCAGAGGCCCCCTCCTCCTCCTCCTCCTCCTCCTCCTCCTCCTCCTCCTCTTTGGCCAAAACGGCCAAAGAGGCTTCCAAGAGAGCTGTCAGGCAGCTCAGGATCATCCTGGGGCGGCCCCAAGCACCCCCATCACCCGAGCGGTAGCCGCACGAACTTCAAAGCAGGCAGCAGCAGCAGCAGCAGCAGCATCAGCAGCAGCAGCAGCGGCAGCGGCAGCGGCAGCGGCAGCGGCAGCAGCAGCAGCAGCAGCGGCGGCAGCGGCAACAGCAGCAGCAGCAGCAGCAGCAGCACACTGCAGCAGCAGGTAGCGGTCGACAACACTCACACACACACACACACCAAGTAAACGTGGCCACCAGCACCCTACAGCCACAGGCAACAAAGACGCGCAGCAGCTGCAAGCATTACGAGCAGCACGCAGCAGCGGCAGCGAGCAGCAGACCTCAGCAGCATGCGCAGAATGCGAGGGTCAAGCCCCACGTTGTGCGTTCAGCTTGTTTTGGCTGCAGGTCCACAATCACCGGCTCCTGCAGACTTCGTGGACAGAGTCTACGGGTCAGCCCTAGTCAGCTACAGCGGTGGGATCAGCGCGTGCGAGAAGGGCGGGCAGTGGCAGCGGGCCCTGGCGCTGCTGAGCGAGATGCGGGAGGCGAAGCTGGAGCCCAACGTCGTCAGCAACAATGCCGCGATCAGTGCGTGCGAGAAGAGCGGACAGTGGCAGCGGGCAATGGCGCTGCTCAGCGAGATGAGGGAGGCGAAGCTGGAACCCGACGTCATCAGCTGTAACGCCGGGATCGGCGCTTGCGAAAAGGGCGGGCAGTGGCAGCGGGCAATGGCGCTGCTCAGCGAGATGAGGGAGGCGAAGCTGGAACCCGACGCCATCGGTTACTGCGCCGGGATCAGCGCCTGCCAGAAAAGCGGGCAGTGGCAGCGGGCCCTGGCGTTGCTCGACGATGTGCGGGAGATGAAGGTGTTGCCAGACGTCATCAGCTACAGGCTCGCAGTCAATGCGTGCGAGAAGGGCGGACAGTGGCAGCAAGCTCTCTTCATGCTCAGGAGCATGTGCTTGAGAAGGCTCGATGCGGACTTTATTGCCTACGGGATTACAGCTGGAATGTGCGAGCAGGGCGGACACTGGAGACAGGTGCTGTCATTACACATGGAGGTGCGCGGCTTGCTCGCAATGGAATGATGCAATGTATGCATGCTACAGTGTGTTCTCAAGGCGCGCGCATAAAAAAAAATCGAGAAGTGACACCTTTCACCGGAATTACAGTCAGGCCGCTGTAATGTTTATCTTTTTTCATTAATTGTACGAAATATTTGTATTTTTTTTCACAGTCAGGCCGCTGAAGAAGGAACATTTTTCACTGGGCAGGGGCTCAGGGCTCCTCAACTTTGGTACCGTTCTTCTCAGGTTTTCCCGATGCTCTCTGTGGGAAATTGAAGTTTAGCTTATTGAACAAAGAGGCCTCGTTCCTTATCAAGGGTTCCTTATGATCGCCTTTCGACTGCAGGATGGGGGAAAAACAGGGGCGAGGGTGGATGTAGGCGGGTGAGGAGGAGGAGGGAGGCTCTCGAGGGGCGAACAGATGCGTATCCCTGTCCTCGCGCTCTGGATTCTGCGACGCGTTCCCGCGGACACGCGGTCGCACGGAGAAGTTCCGCGCGGCGCAGCCGTGGAAAGACACGCCCCGCATCCGCGAGGTCGCGGCCCAGGGGGGCCTCGCTCCTTCTTCCGGGCTCCTCGGGGCGGCGCTTCGACTGCAGCAGCGCAGTGCGCGTGCTGGGCGTGTCGAGCTTTTGTTCGCCAGGTCCGCGAGGCCCTGTGTGCGCCTCGTGGGCGATCCCCGTGCGGAGGCTGGTTTCGGTCGAGGTTTCGCCCTGGTCGGCGGCTCGTGAGCACCTCGCGGGCGCCTCGCGCTGCTTGCGCGGCACAGCGCGCTGTGCACAGCTCGGCACCACACCAGCTCACAGCAATAAGCAGCACCTGCTTTCCAAAGGGGCTCGGTCGTTCCTTCGGTTTGCAGGCTTCCAGCTCCGTTTTTGGCGGCGAGCCCTCTTTCCGCGGTGTTCCTTCAGACTTCATGGACCCACTGAAAAAAAGGGCCTCGTTCTTTTTCGATCGCACCTTAGGTCAGCGCCCCGTCTGTAGCTTGCATTACATATTCCACACAACGATTGCACCACACATGGCTTGCACCATAATGATTGCATCACGCTGCTAACACCGCATAGTTTGCACCACCTGTACATTGCACACATTGCTTGCAGCGCGTCTGCACGCACCATGTAACGTGCACCGCATAGCTTCTAAAACCCGATTGCAAGAGCTCACTGATTGTGGTCTAGGCTGGCAAATACTGTACTGTGTTTGTCATGTGTCCAACCTTAGTTACTGGGTCAAGTTCTTATGCTGCGTCTGGCATCCAGTATCTTGGCCGTCGGGCTTCTTGACTTATTGGCCACATGGGGCCCACACCTTTGACGTTCCGTGCAGCTTGCAACCAAACACGTAACCGTCCCCGTGCTTATCACACCCCGAACTCACTATCCCATGAGCCGTGAATCGACGACGCGGGACTAACCCCGGGCTGTCCTCTTGGCAGCACGCCGAGGTACGGGCCGTTCTTGCGCTCGATGGTCACGTGCGACGTGGCCGTGTCGCCGGGAGCGGTCTTCACGGGCTCCGTGCTCTGCGGCGACAAGGCCGCATGGCATGTGGCTGATGTGGCGGGACCTGTAGTTGGAGGGAGAGGAAGGAGCGGCCGAGGCACCGCTTGTAGCGTTCCCAGGGGCTCTCCTCCTGACGGTTCGTGTGGCGTCAGGGGCAGCACAGTGGTCACGTCGGAGACGCTGAGTGGGTGAGGGAGCAGAGGAGGAACGATAATGAGAGGGAGTAGGAGGTGGAGGGAGAGGAGGAATGACGAGTTCCTGATCATGGGTGGGAGAAGCACATGGTGTGATCGGTGTGCCGCTCTGGGACGTGCCAGGCCTGCTCGGGGGAGGGCGTGCTGGTGTGCCCCCGGAGAAGCCAGCTGTGCAGACCCCACGGCAGGTAAAGGCAGGGAAGGGTCCTTTCTCGAAGTGTTCTCTCGGCGACGGAGCTTTCCCTCGCCTCCTTCGCCGAGGCCGTCCCGAGGCTGCAGGTGCCGCTCCCTTCCGACCTGGCCCCTTTCTCCTTTTCGCGTACGTTCGTTTGTTCGCCCGCCACCGTGGCCTTTCCTTTGAAGTTCATGGATGGTCATGGTTTGGCCGGATCGGTCGGATGAGGAGGGAGGGAGGAGGGGAGGGCAAGGAGAGAACATGTTGGGGAGCAATAGGAGAGGAGGAGGAGGAGGAGGAGAAACTTTGGAAGCATGAGGCGGACAACAAAGAAGCAATTCGGAGGACTGGAGGATATGTACAGGGAGAAGGTTGAGGAAGACGAGACGAGGATGAGTCAGAGGCAGAGGATGATGATGATGATGAGGAGGAGGAGGAGGAGGAGAAGGATGAGGAGCAGGAGGAGGAGGAGGAGGGGGAGGAGGAGGAGCAGCAGGAGGAGGATGTGTGGTGACCGACGAGGAGGAGTCGGGAAGTAGGAGGAGCCAGTAGGGAGGATGAGGAGGGGATACAGAATGCCTCTATGACGAGGAGAGAAGGAGGAGGATGGGAAGTTTGAGCAGGAAGTGCAGGGAGGAGGAGGAGAGGAGGAGGAGGAGAGAGAAGAAGAAAAGGAGGAGGAGGAGGAGGAGAGGAGGAGAAGTTGGAGGAAGCAGGAGGAAGATCACAGGAGAGGAGGAGGAGGAGGAGGCGGGGCGGAGCAGGATGATGCGGAGGAGGAAGAGAGGAGGAGAGAAGAAGGAGGAAACGAGGAGGAAAAGGAGAGGGAGTGGACACGACGGGAAAAAAAAAAAAAAAAAAAAAAAAAAAAAGGAAATGGTGGAAGTGGCTAAGGAGGAGGAGGAGGAGGAGGAGGAGGAGGAGGAGGTGGTGGTGGTGGTGGAGCCGTTGGGGGCCATGAGTCGATGTCTGACAGCACATCTAGCCCCTAGGAAAGTGAGCTACTGCAACTGTGGGTATCGTCACCTCCGCCGCCCGCGGGAGCCGCGCCAGCTGTTGCTGGAAGCGGCCCCGCTCCAGCAGGGGCTCCCCATTGCAGCCTCAAAACCCCCACCGATGCAAGCACTGTCTGGGGCCAGACCTCACGCCCAAACCCCAAACTCAGCAAGCACTGATGGGGGAACAAAAACGGGGGAGCGAGCGAGCTAACCTCTGTGGGCCACGCTCGCTCGCTGCACTCTGCTGGCTCGCTGCACTCTGCGGGCCGAGAAAAAATAAAATCAAGATTTTAAATCCTCCTCCTCCTCTGCTCTCGCGCAGCGCGCGGCGGCTCCCACTGGAAGTCGCAGCACCGCATGTCGTAGTTGTCGAGCGGGGGGGGAGGAGGGGGGGAAGGGAAGGGGCACTCTCTCGGGAAAACAAGGGGAAGAGGGAGAGCAAGACACGCATGTACACGTGCAAGATGCTACTGCCTCGCACTGCCCCTCACCTCACTAGCACCATCCCCATCTGGATCTGGAACATAGCTATGCTCGACGACGCTGGGACTCTTCGTGTCGAAATTCTCAAGGAGCTGCAGAATTATGTCATTCTGGTGCTTAATATACTCGATCTGGGACGAGAGATTGCGCACCAGGATAACCCGCTCCCGTTCATCCTCGGAGTCCTCAAACCTCAAGTTGCGTAGCACGCTGAATTGTGCTTCGCTCGATCTGAGGCTTGCCGTCATGCGAGAGAATTCACCGATCATGATGGACTGGTGTTGCTTGATGCGCTGAGCTGCGGTGACGTGGGTCATCTTGGCCGTCTGTAGGTAGTCATCTGCCTCCGCTCCACGGGCAACTGTCGTAGGACGAGGCCTCGGAGCTGCTTTCGGGGTCGGGGCACGTGCAGAGGATCCACTGGCCATTGTGCTGGGCGTGATGGTGCCTTGCGCTTTCCAGAAAGCTCGAGGAAAAGGCTAAGGACGATCTCCTAATACCCCTCATATAAATGACAGCTCCCTCGAGTAGTCATATCTGTGTAGTAGATGAGGTACGCACTAAAGATGTGGACCCCGTAAAAAAATTATTTAGACCCAGACCCACTTCCCTGAACGTACTTGGCTGTGGTGCTGGCCATTCGGGCACGAACGAATTCGACTGCTTGCACTATGTGTCGCACACGCTCAGAACCCCCATCAAGTAACCGATACATATTGGTCAACTTCTGTGGGTCTCGTGCTAGTATCTCCGCTTGTGCAATCACTGCCTCTGTAAATTGCGGAGCTGCCTCTCGACTGCGCGCTCGAGCTCCGTGCGAGGTCCTGGACCCACTGGCCTGGCCCCCCGATGCTTGGTCAGTACTAAGTTGAACGCTGCCTGCAGCGCGCGCATGTCGATCGTGACGGGACTGAGGGGACCTCCTGGCCCTGCTTGGTGGCGAGCTGGAGGGTCGTGCGAAGGTCTGGCTGCAAGTTCATACTGTACTGTAGTTTCACCTTCCGAGCTGCGTCCTCGACCCCATCTGGCTTGTAGGTCTCTTTCAGGCGGAACACTCGAAATATTTCGTTGGTGATTTGCATGCCGTGCTCGCTGCCCATGACCTGCATCAATTATCCTAGTACTTGCTTTGCTGGTCCTTCGTGCTGGTCTGCCTCGTTCAGGCTGCCGTGAGCGCTCTCTAGGAACCCTGCGGCGACGTGGGAGTGGGGGGGGCCCTGGTTGTGTCCTTTGCCGATCGAGCGCACGGTTTCGTGATACGCCAAGCCGGCTTCCAACCCCGCCTGCACAGGCGGCGCCAGGTAGGGCAGAATCCAGAACTCGAAAACTGTGTTCGACATCTCTCTCTGGTCGGCGGCTGTCTTCAGGGCCAGTTTCTGTAGTGAAACGACTGCTGATTGAAGCTCGGGGGCTGCGGCCACGTTGTGCTGCTTTGCTGATTTGGCTCCCCTGCCGCCTGCCCCCTTTGCTGCATGCCCTCCACCCGAAGCTGCTGCCGCCGAGGCCGCTGCCCCTCCCGACGCTGCTGCCTCCCCGCCCAGCGTCCTCTTCGCCCTCCAGCTCATCATGTTGCCTTGTGTGTAGTACACCTACAGGCCCTGGGTGATGGAGGGTAACGTGTGTCTGGAAGTCGTCGAAGTCTTTCGCTTGGTACTCACAAATGCTGCATGACAGATCTGCTGGCTCGATCACAGGGTGTACCCATCTAGAATGATCCACGTGGCAAACTCCGTGCTGCGTCGCTGCTCGTACTACGTGGTCTGTCGCTATCTTACGTGTCGAGAAAGTAGACCTACACCACGGGCACTGGTTGCTTACAACTAGTTTGTGCAGTAGTGGTTCAAGACGATGGTACTCCCTCTTATGTGCTGCAAGTGCTGCGTGCGATCGAAAACGACACCCACATACCTCCTCCTCACCCGTCTCCTCGTTCAGTCCCCTGAAGTCGCACCAAAAAGGTTTCTCAACTTCCTCTGGCTCCCTCATGTCTTCTTCTGGCTCCTCTGGTCTGCTCTTTGCCCATTCTCTAGCTGCGCTATTCATGATGCTCGGGTCTGTCCTGATCCACATGCTGTATTCCTCTGTGCTGGGGTCGAACACGCAAATGTCGTTCGCGCGCGCGTGCCACCATGCATGTATGTCAGGATCCGTGCTCGCAAGGTCATCCATGTCTGAGACGAACTGTTTTGCCCACGGTGTACTCTTGGCCCAAATACGCTTACTTGGTGCTAGTCTGGCTGCTCCCATTTCTGCATCACTCTTCGAGGTACCAAACACTGCTGCGATAACTGCTTCGTGATCCTGGGGGTAGAGGGCCCACCTGCGATAGGCATGCAGCCTTCTAACCTTCAGCGTGTCCGCGGTACGTTCAATGCGCCATTCCTTGAATACTGCATTCATGCTACCTGCGCGCCTCCTCCCCTTCTCGTCCACCGTGCAGCGCTTACCTCTGGAAAGATATCTGAGCAGCTTGCACAACGCAACATCAATCGCGTCGGTGTGTTTCTTGGGGATGATGGAACTACTTAAGCCACTAAGCGCAGCCCCCATTACAAACGCGATAAACATGCTCCTCTTAATACCCTTCGTTGTCTTAGATGACCAAAACGGTGAACATTGCCTCCGCGCTGCCCTAGCTGCTGTGATACGCCTCTTGATCTCGCTTCCGATACCCTGGTCGCTCGGGATATATGGTCCAAGAACCCTCATCTCGCGCAAGGCCTCTCCGTTCAACCCACTATCTTGTTTCCTCAACGTTCTCGTACTATGATAAGAACGAGTACCTCTAAGTACTAGCAAGTGGTTGGTCTTTGTCGGGTTCAGAAGCCAGTTCCCTATCTGCAATGAGGACTCCAATCTATGAGTAACCTGGTTCATCTGTTCTGCGATCTCCTCGGGTAAGGCACCTATAGGCAGCATGGTAATCTTCGTGATGTCATCCATAAACGTGCGGATCGAAAGGTCTAGCATCTTCATACTTATAGGATGCAATGTATCATTAATGTACTGGCTCTCTTGTTCGCGCTCACCGTCCAGCCACTCCGAGACCACTGGGTTGTAGACGTCGTTAAAGTCTCGTGGCGCTAGAGTGAAGCCCATCTGGGCCCCATGCTGGCTCATCATGTCAACGCTCATGTCTGAGGCCTGCAAGGTCAGTGCGGTGTGTTCGACTGCGCCAAGTGCATAAGGTACGTCGTGCTCCGCTGCCGTCTGCCACGCGTGCTCTCTAAGCAGCTCACGATCTGTAGATGCAAACGCGTTCGTGCAATCGAAGTTGCTCATGATAAGGGAGCGGCCTGCTTTTTCACAACGCCATTTTGTAGCCAGTAGAACTAAGATGGCATTGTCACGAGATCTGTTCGCCAGTCCACCGTGGGCAAAATAAGGACGATTCTGTACTAAAGCGCGCTTGTGAATACCACTGTGCCATGACATGCCTACCCCGCAATATGCATGCATAATGCGCTTTCCAGCTATCCCCTTCTTGTGGTTCTGCTTTTCGCTAGAGAAGCTGTGTGCACGCAACATGTTCAACGGCATGGCCTGGCACTGCCTGAAGTGGATCAGTAGTTGTCTAAGTTTCTTCGGGCTCTCAAACTCCTGCTCTGCAAACTTCGGGGCGCCAACTCCTGCTTTTTCTAAATGCTCGAAGGTCCAATACGATGCTTCAGGTGGCTCTTGGGGGCGGAGTCCTTCAGCTCTCTGACGTAGTCCAATAGTCTCCCCCTGGATCCAACCTAGGTTCTTCAAGAGTTGCCGCCCTTTCTTCATCAGGAAAGACGTGGTGTGACGCTCTAGTTCCTCCTCGTCCTCTTCTTTCTGTGCTTCACGTACTCTACGCTCCTCCCTCCACCTGGAACTGCTGTCGGGTCTGTCTAAATTCGCTGCCGGTTCCAACAATAGCCAGCCCATCTCAACAGGAAGCCCCCACTCAGGATAAGCACGCCGCTTGCACGCACGTCGGCAGTATCTGTGCATGGCGCGCGCGTCCTGATGTACATGCTCCATCAACTCAGCACTCATGGGGAGGAAGGGAAAGTCTCCGTCGCTAACCTCGAAGTCGGCTGTATAATCGTTCACCGTGGACTCCCAATCTAGGTTCTTACAGCCTAGTCCACCTAGGTGTGGATGTTTCGCCAATTCTTCTCGCCATTGCTCACCCGACCAGTGGCATCGATACGTGTGGTAAAATTTTTTTTTCGGGCCACGGCCGTTTCTTTGGTAAGCTACTCGCAGGCGATGCATGTCGGCAAAGCGATTCTCCGAGTACGCGAGCCATATCTCCTTAACAATCTCAGCCCGATCAGCATCACGATAAGCCTCTCGTAGTTTCTTAAGGGCGCCTGTAACCTGCTTAAGCTCGTGCTCGACATAACTACCCTCGTACTCATTCGTCGCATCAATCCTGCGCTGCCTCCACTGTCGTCTCTCCTCCAGGAGCTCCATCCTTCTCTTCTTCATTTCTAGATACGCCTTGTCCCCTTGCATGCGCTGTACCCCGAATGTCTTTTGCATACCTGCTTGCACGCACTCGACATACTTCTGCCACGCACGATCAGGGGAACGAGCCTGGAAGAGACTCTGCCACTCTTCATCTGAAGTCTTGTTGAGCTCAGTATCGATATTCTGGAAAAGCTCATCCCTCCGATATCCTGTACGCAGGCATCTCATCAGCTCGCCACGGTCAATCTTCTTTTGCGTTTTCATAGGGTAGCCGTGGTTCCTGATGTCTATATCTATGTCCATGCCTACTGGTAGGTGGTCTCTGTAACGTCGATCAGGGATTTTTTGTAAACGCTTTCCCGCATGGTGGAGGCAGCAACAGGTCTTAACGAGTGGTATTGCGGCCACAGGGACCGCTAGGTGGTCGATTCTGGACTGGCCTCCTTTGGGTCCGTAGTACGTGCTCCCTATGTCGTGGAACGTCGTCGCTACTGCAAGTCCATTGTCCATGCAAAACTTCCTAAACGCCGTACCGTTCGTGTTCTCGCACTGCGGGCGTACTCCACCTATACATACCGTGCGCGTGCGCTGCATGCTCCCATCATCCTCCCTGTGCACCCCCAAGTCGCTGTTGATGTCCCCTCCCACGACTATGGCACTCCTGACCCCCAGCCCATCCAGCTCTTTCTCCATCCACGAGAAAACCTTCTGGGCAACGACTTTTTTTTTTCCGTCGTACATCGGGGCCAGGTACACGCAGAAGATCACGAAGTCCAGGTTTTTTGTCTGTATCCTGATGCCTCCTGCTCTTCCCTGGATGTCGCGCGGGGGGGTGAACACAGTGTGCAACGCCGAGGAGGGGATCTTACTGCTGACAAGGATGGAAACGCCACACGACGCCGTGACCAACTTTTTCATGAGGCCCATCCGTCTGCCGAAGTGAACTCCCCAGTGGTATGCATGCATGTGTTCCTGAACAGGGTGGTCGAGCTGTGCGACGCGCTGTGTTCCCGAGAGTAGTATAATGTCCCAGCTTTTAAGCTCATGAGAGATATCCTCGTGTCTCTCGAAACTAGCCTCCAGAGGGTTGTAGGTAACGATGCGCATGATGGGCTCTGAGCGTGCTACGCAACACAAGCAAGCGAGAGCGAGAAAAAAACATGCATGCAGAGTGTGCCCCCTGCGGAAGTGACTTGGAAATAGTACAGTAGTGCGCTCTGAAGTGTGAGTCTCCAACCTAAGAGCGGGCCGCACGCACTCGTTCGTGTCTGAAATTGCGGCTGAGGAGGAGGAGAAGGAGGAGGAGGAGGAGGAGGAAGAGACATTTGAAGGAGGGGGAGAACGGAGAGAGGCGGAAGCTGAGGAGGCTCACGTCGAGCTCGAGGAGCATAGAAAGTGTAGTGCAGCTGGTGATTTACACCGGGAGTCTCCTTTCTCGAGGCGTACGTGCTGGCCGAGGCGCAGGCGCAGGAGGGCAGCCTGGTCGGCACCCCAGACCGGGAGGAGGGGAAAGGTAGAGGACTTTGGACGGCTCTGAGCCCGATGGGGCCTCAAGAGATCTTTCGGGGCGCGGGTGAGGCTGCGGCGGCGTGTTCCTCAGCCCCGCCCCCCCGTCCCTTCTCCTTCCCCCCATCCTCTGTCCCCCGCCCCCTCCCTCCCTCCCCCCTCCTGCTCCTCCTTCTCCTCCTCGCCCTGCCCCCTTTCACTCTTCCCTTTACAATCACACACTATGAATGCTACTCTCCCCTCTTCCCCGAGTCTGTGTTGAGAAAGTCGCAGACCTTCCACGTCCTGTTTTTCCCAACCCTCCTTGGTTGGGTATTCGTTTTGAATATAGCAGTGTGGTCTCCACTCCCTCCTTCCCATCCCGTCTCCCTCTTGCCTCCTCCTGTCTTGCCAACGGGGGGCTGCGATCTGTGAAACTGTCGCCACTGTCGAGGCCTGCTGGGGGGCCCAGCACAGTGACGCCACGGGCAGATTCAAATTAGACCTCGCCATCCCTGGGGGGCCGCGATCTGTGAAGCTGTCGCCACTTTCGAGGCCTGCTGGGGGGCCCAGCACAGTGACGCCACGGGCAGGTTCAAATTAGACCTCGCCATCCCTGGGGGGCTGCGATCTGTGAAACTGTCGCCACTTTCGAGGCCTGCTGGGGGGCCCAGCACAGTGACGCCACGGACGGACCCAAATTAGACCTCGCCATCCCTGGGGGGCTGCGATCTGTGAAACTGTCGCCACTTTCGAGGCCTGCTGGGGGGCCCAGCACAGTGACGCCACGCGCGGACCCAACTTAGACCTCGCCATCCCTGGGGGGCTGCGATCTGGAAACTGTCGCCCACTTTCGAGGCCTCTGGGGGCCAGCACAGTGAAGCCACGGGCGTATTCAAAATTAGACCTCGCCATCCCTGGGGGTCTGCGATCTTTGAAACTGTCACCATTTTCGAGGCCTGCTGGGGGGCCCAGCACAGTGAGGGCCACGGGCAGATTCAAATTAGACCCCGCCATCCCTGGGGGGGCTGCGATCTGTGAAACTGTCGCCATTTTCGAGGCCTGCTGGGGGGCCCAGCACAGTGACGCCACGCGCGGATCCAAATTAGACCTCGCCATCCCTAGGGGGGCTGCGATCTATGAAACTGTCGCCACTTTCGAGGCCTGCTTGGGGGGCCCAGCACAGTGACGCCACGGGCAATGTTACAAATTAGTCCTCCCATCCCTGGGGGCCTGCGATCTGCGAAAACGTCGCCACTTTCGAGGCCTGGATGGGGGGCCCACGCACGTCGGACTACAATCACAGACATCAAACGAACCAATACGACTCACCGAAATGACGCTTACGGGCGGAATTCAAATTGACCTCGCCATCCCGGGGGGCTGCGATCTGTGGAAACTGTCGCCACTTTCGTTCGAAGCCTGCTCCGCCGCACAGCAACATGACGCCACGGGAGGATTCAACTTAGACCTCGGCCATCCCTGGGGTGGCTGCGATCTGTGAAACTGTCGCCACTTTCGAGGCCTGCTGGGGGGCCCAGCACAGTGACGCCACGGGCGGATTCAAATTAGACCTCGCCATCCCTGGGGGGCTGCGATCTGTGAAACTGTCGCCACTTTCGAGGCCTGCTGGGGGGCCCAGCACAGTGACGCCACGGCAGGTTCAAATTAGACCTCGCCATCCCTGGGGGGCTGCGATCTGTGAAACTGTCGCCACTTTCGAGGCCTGCTGGGGGGCCCAGCACAGTAACGCCACGCGCGGACCCAAATTAGACCTCGCCATCCCTGGGGGAATTCGATCTGTGAAACTGTCGCCACGTTCGAGGCCTGCTGGGGGGCCCAGCACAGTGACGCCACGCGCGGACCCAAATTAGACCTCGCCATCCCTGGGGGGCTGCGATCTGACATCCCCGCTTTCGAAGTGGCTAGGGTTGCTCAGGGATTGTAACTAATCAGCTTTATCTAGTCCTTGTTCTGTAGCCAGTGTCCTGCGAGTCTCCCGAATTCCGTCTGCAGACATATGTAACCCTCGCTCCGTCATCGCCCCCCTTACAAAGTGTCCTAAACTATTTGCGCCCCGCGTTTGCGCAGGGGTTGGGTACGTCGCCAGGGTAATTTTCTTCCGGATTTGTGCGAGTTGTTTTTTCATATGGTTTTTGCTTCATGCCGATGGTTTACAGGTTTTCATCCCACGGCAACTCGTTGCACGTGTTGGAAAACAGGTTTCAGGTCAGGCCGGGGGTCATGGAGGGAACTGGTAGGAGGGCATGGGCTTGGAGTAGGATGGGTTGCATGAGGGTTGGGAAACGAATTGCAGATGGCTTGCTTAGCACGCCACCCTTCGGGTCAAGGCCCGGGCAGGGCCTTCAGTATCTGTTTGCCGAACGAATAACAAACACCACACACACCCATACCCATAGGGGAGACGGACGAAGCTATGGGTACGTGTTGTCGAGGGCGCCCCCCCCCCCCAAGCCCACCGAGCCCCCAAGCCCACTGAGTCCACCTCGTCGTCATCCTCCTCCTCTTCCTCCTCCTGCTTTTCCTTCTCCACCTCCGCCTCCGCCTCCTCCTCGAGTCCACCTCGTTGTCCTCCTCCTCTTCTTCCTCCTGCTTTTCCTTCTCCACCTCCGCCTCCGCCTCCGCCTCCTCCTCCTCCTCCTTTCCTCCTCCTTCTCCTCCTCCTCCTCCTCCTCCTCCTCCTCCTCCTCCTCCTCCCTCCTCCTCTCACGTCGTCCTGCTTTTCCTTCTCCACTCCGCCTCCGCCTCCGCCTCCTCCTCCTCCTCCTCCTCCTCCTCCTCCTCCTCCTCCTCTTCCTCCTCCTCCTCCTCCTCCTCCTCCTCCTCCTCCTCCTCCTCGTCCTCCACCTGCCAGCATTTTCTCCCCTCCCGCTCTTACCCCCGCCCCTCTCACTTCGTCCCTCCCCACCTATTGCTGGGCACACGGCGCCGGCAGGCGTAGTTTCACCCCCTGAGGGCCGCCGGGACGCGCGACGACCCGGACGCGGCGAGGAGGGGGCGATGAGGAGGGCCATCTGGGAGCGCACTTGGGGCCTCCTCCCCAGCTCCCCATCCTGCCTCGTCCTCCGTCCTCCCTCTGCACGCCCTGCTTCCCTGCTCCTCCTGCGCGTCATCTCCCTCCTCCCTTGCGCGCGCTCCCGCGAGCACGGAGCGGTGGAGGAAGGAGGAGGGTGGAGAAGGAAGAGGACGGGGAATAATAGGGGAGAAGGGAGGAGAAGGCAGAGGAGTAGGAGGTGAGGAGGCAAGGCATGTTGTAGTAGAAAGGTACTGATGGTATGAATGACTGTTGGGATGGTGCCGCACATGATGAGGCTGATTATGAGGATGAGGATGATGATGCTGATGATGATGCTGATGGTGATAATGATGATGATGATGATGCTGATGCTGATGATGATGGTGGTGGTGAAGTTGATGGTGTTGGTGAAGATGATAACAATGACGTTGCTGATGATGATGCTGCTAATAATGATAATGATGATGATGATGATGATGATGCTGATGATGATGATGATGATGATGTTGATGATGTTGATGATGATGACGATGATGATGATGATGATGACGATGATGATGATGATGACGATGATGATGCTGATGCTGATGCTGATGATGATGACGATGATGACGATGATGACGGTGACGATGAGGATTGTGATGATGATGATGATGATGATGATGATGGTGACGATGATGGTGATGGTGGTACTGATGATGGTGGTACTGATGATGATGATGATGATGATGATGATGATGATGATGATGATGATGATGATGATGATGATGGGTTCTTCTTAGGAATGTCCATGGCGTTTTTTGACAATTTTTTACTCGGCGCGTTGGAAATCATGTTTTAGCGCTTGTAGGCCCCATCAAGGAAACTGAACCCGCTAACACAACGATTCATGCGTCCTGCGTTTCTATCTATACGTTTTTGCGCTGTCAGGTCAGCTGGTCACATTGTTTAACGCTGCCGTCTACGACGTCCGCAGTTCCTTCTCCTGGCCTGCAGTCCTCAGCCCTCCGTCTCTCTCAGCCCGACTGCTCGCCGTCCTCGGAGCCCCTCCTGGGGCGTCGGGCCTCCGGGCCCGATGGCTCATGGCCCCTCTTGGGGCCATCGGGCCTCCGGGCCTGCTTCGGGCTGGTGTGAAGCAGGTGTGAGAGCGTTTTTAATGTTTCATTGTTTTTTTTTTTTTTTTTTTTTTTTTTTTTTTTTTGCGTTTTTAGCTTCCAGAGGGAGACCGGCGGCAGAAAGGAACAATGGGAGTGAAGACGGCAGAGACAACAATACATAACCTTCGCCCAGAAAGCAAAACACGCATTAACAAAGTTAATGATCCACAGCAGCGGGCCTAAAACATTTTCAACAGCGGAGCTACGCACTCGCAACATGTCGATTTTTTCGCGTTGTTTGGTTCGTCAAGAGCCCAAAGTGCAAAACGGTAAAACATACCAAGGGCGCCCTCTGAGAAGAATCATGATGATGATGCTGATGATCGTGATGATGATGATAATGATGATAATGCTGATGATGATGATGATGGTGATGACGATGGTGAAGCTGATGATGTTGATGACGTCGGTTTCGATGATGATGACGATGGTGTTGCTGATGATGATGAGTGTTCTTATGATGGTGACGATAATAATGATGATGATTGAGGTGGTGATACTGATGATGATGCTGATGATAATGATGATGATGATGATGATGATGATGATGATGGAGGTGGTGATACTGATGATGACGGTGCTGATGATGATGTTGATCATGATAATGATGATAGAGTTGGTGATGGCGATGATGACGGTGATGGTGAGGATGATGGTGATACTGATTACGTATGTTGGGGATACTGATTGTCATGGTGATGGTGGTGGTTGCGGCGGTGGCGGTGGTGAGGTTGAGGGTGAGGCTGATGTTGATGACGGCGATGAGGATGGGGGCAGTGGCGATACATGATGTCGTGGTTGATGATGGTGATGCTTACAATGATTGTGATGATGATGGTGGTGAAGATGATGCTGGTGATGCTGATGGTGATCATAATGATGATGTCGATGATGATGATGATGATGATGATGATGATGATGATGATGATGAGGATGATGAGGATGATGATGATGATGATGATGATGATGATGATGATGATGAGGATGGTGGTGATGATGATGATGGTAGCGATGGTGGTGGTGGTGATACTGATGCTTGTGGTGGTGATGAACGCGACGGAGAGAGGAGGCTAGCAGCAGCGGTACTGCTGTTTCTACTTGCTTCCCGCCTCTGCAAGCCTATCCAGACATCCTCCTCCAGTTCGCCCGGCTGCATGATGAGCGGGAGAAGGTGAGCGTGAGGATAATGAGGTCTGCCCAGGCTTTCACCTAGATCTTTGGGTTACGGACTCCCACACAAACTCTGACTCGAGAGCCTCAGGATTTCCGTCCGCGATCTCCGAATATCTCCACATTCGACGTCCTGGAAAATTTGCGACGTCACAACTACAAATCATGACCACAGCCCTCGATCCCCCCCTTGTCTCCTTCGATCCCGATCGGCCCTGGGGCCCGACTCGAGTCAAGAATGCCGCATGCCCGTTTTGATGTTTGTCACGACGCCTGGAGGCCTGCCTGGGCCCCATCCCCCGTTTCCAAGGACAATTCTCAAAATTGGTCTCTGGACTTTTGCCCGACGCCATCCCGATCTGCCTCCCCAGCCGCGTCCAGCCGCGTGGAGGGAAGCTTCCAGAAGCGCACGGTCGCTCCCGCGGGCCAGCTCCTCGGATGGTGGTCCGCTCTAGCGGCGCAGAGTCGCCCAAGGTCGCCGCACCAGCCTTTGCGTCTGCGACGGCGCCGAGGCCATGCGTCACTCTGTCTGGCCACTTGCCTCTCCGCCCGAGCGGCGTGGCGAGAGGCCGGCGCAGCACGCCCAGCCGCGTCATTCTAGCCTCTGCGCCCGAGGTCAGCATGAAGCTGGCGGTCCACGCCGTCGCGGGGCCCCTGCTCGGGGTCCTGGCGGACCGCGCTGGGCGCAGGCGCCGCGCGAGATCCCCTCGCGCGAGAGGATGGGAGGGAGCAGGGCAGAGGCGGCAGCGGTCGCCACAGGAGGGCGGGGAGGACGAGGGAGGAGGAGGGGGAGCAGGGGGAGGAGGTGCAGCAGGGATTGGGGGGGGGGGAGGAGGGGGGAGCAGCGCACATGAGGGGGAGGAGTGAGCGGAGCGCGGGCTCCTCCCCCCCGCCCAGCCCTCCCCAGGCCGCCGCCCAGGCCAGTACTGCTCAGTTTCCCGCCCAAGGCTGGATTGTCCCGAGGCCAGAAAACAGCTCCAAGAAGCCGGACTCGCCGAATATCTTATCGATGCTCGATCCTCATCCTCATCCTCTTCGTCGCGAGCGGCGCGCAAGGCAGCTCAGAGCGAGAGGCCAGTGCAGTCTGCATCGCTGAAGGAAGTGTGGGCCCAGGTCCACCGCACATCTCCTTTTTCATGGGCGGGCTCGTCGGTGTCTTCCTCTCCTCCTCTGTAAAGTGTCGTGCCTCCTCCGTCGGAGCCTGCCGATCTCGCTCTTCTTCCGCTCCATGGGTGTCGTGCCTCAGCCTTCTCGGCATGTTGCCCGCCGCTGCCTCAGGCCCGTGCTGATCATGAGCCTGGGCGGCTTCACGCTGGCATTCTGTCTGTTCGCCGCCATCTCGGCACAGCGGGGCCTGCCGAGCAGGCTGCCCCTGATGAGGCCATGGGAGGGCTACCCCCGCTGGACGACGTGAGAGGAGGAGGAGGAGGAGGAGGAGGAGGAGGAGGAGGAGGAGGAATAATCGACGAGGAATTGGGGTGGGAGTGGCAGGAGGGGGGGGCGGGGAGGAGGGGTCGGGAGCCTTGGGACGGGGTCAATGCAAACGGGGGTCAGTCAGAGCGCTGGAGCAGGGCCAACGCTGCACTGACCCTGGCCAGCGTGCAGGATCCCGCAGGATCCTGCAGCATCCTGCAGGGTCTCTGACTGAACTGACCCGGGGTGGCACTGACCCGGGTCTCCGTAGATCCCCGAGGGGGTTGGCAATGGAGCGCCGACGAAAGCGCAATCACGAGAACCAGCTGTAAACATTGCACTTTCTTGTGTAAGCAGCGGAGCAGCCCTCAGCAGCCCGGAACCCTGAACTCCGCAGATCCCCGCAGGGGGGGGGCAAGGGCACGCCGGCGCGGCACGAGCCCGCCGCGCGCGGCCGGGGCTGGCCGCGGAAGGCCTCTGCCGCCCCCGCCTCGTGCGCCGGGCGGGGGTGACCGGCCGGCCGTGGGCGGCCCCTGTCTTCGGGGGCGGAAAAGAGGGGGGTGATGACTAGGGGGGGGTGGATATCATGGCGGGGGGCATGATATTCCCCAGATCTCATGGCGCCTCTTCTTGTTTTAATGCGTCCCTGGCCCCCCCGCTGGGCCGCGCACATGCCGCCGGTCATGATTTGCACCCCCCCCCTTCTTGGACACCCCCCTCTTGGCCGCTCCCGATGTCTGCCCCTGGGTCGCCCGGATGGGGCGGGGGGCGTGCGGGCGGGGAGGGGGGGCGAGGATGGGGACGGGCGCAAGGGGTGCGGAGAGCACGGGCACGAAGAGCGACGGCATCTGCTGTTCCCGAGGAGGGTTCGCCGTCGGCGTCGCGGCGGCTGTCGTCCATCCGAGGCAGCAGGCCGCCTGGCCAACAGCGGCCGTGGTCGGTTTTTGGACAACATGCGCTGTTGGGCATCGAGGTCGTTTTTGCCGTATCCGTTCTGGGCGTTCAAGGAGGAGAGAAGGACCGGTGTGGACCGAAGATTCAGGAGAGGATTTCGTCGATTTCGGCCTCTGGGGCCCGACTCGGGGTGCTTTGGGGCCACGGCAAGACCGATCTGGGATGGACGGCTGGCCAGGGTGCACCCTGGGAGGTTTCCGGAGAAGCGTTTTGAGCGGGTCTCGATCAGGAAGGTGGGCAAGAGGAGGCGGAGGGGGGAGGAGGAGGAGGAGGAGGAGGAGGAGGAGGAGGAGAAGGAGGAGGAGGAAGGTTTGGGGCTCCAGGGGCCCCTGGAGAGCTCTGGAGGGGGGGGAAGCGAGGGAGGGCTGCAGACACGAAAGAGACATAGACCGACTCCGAATGGCGCACACCTCTGGGGCGTGCCGCCGCGAGGGCAACGGCGAAGAAATCAAACAAATCAGGTCTACATCACGTTCGCGTCGTAACGCGGCTCTGATTCTCATCGCATGGGGGGCAGGGACCGGGATGGGGGAGGGGGTACAGCCGTGCTGCTAGCCGACGGCGGGTGGCACATTGGCACTGCAGTGTCGCACAAGGGCTCCCCTCCGCGCTGGCTCGGCGTCCGAGGCCGCTTGGCAGCGGGCGGGGCCGAGAAGGCGCAGCTCCACCAAAAGGCGGGACGGGACCCCTGGGCCCGTTCTCAGAGGAGCCAGAAGTCATGAGAATGGTGCGCACGGGCCTCGACAACCGAGGGCCGCTAGCTGTTCCAGACTGCTTGGGGCGCATCCCGAGCCAATCGTATCATGACGCAGATCTTGTCTCATGCTCGGCTTCCGAATGAGCGCGCGATGTTGAACGTTTGCCCTCGTCATCACGGCGGGCTCGGACGCGGAACGGGACCCCTGGAGCTTCTTCTGCCGAGGGCTCTCCAGGGCTCCTGGTCGCTCCCTTTGGGGCCCGTCCTTGGTGGGTCAGAGAGCGTCTTTGTGGGCCCACTCCGCATCCAGGCCCACCCGCTTGGGGCGGAGGGGGCGGCATGGGACTCGGTCGACGACAAAGCGGGCACCTTGGGGCCAAAACGGACCCTCTGATACCTCGCAGATTGCCCCATCTAGACCCAGGGGGAGGGATCAGGAGAGAGGTTTGCAGAGCGAGCTCGCCATACTAATCACGCAGGGGGGGCCCGGTGAGGTTGTGCTTCTTTGTGGAGGGCGCCACCAACGCCTTCGACGTCGTCTATGGTGGCCGCCTGTCGGCCCAAGCCCAAGCCAACGGCCCTGGCCACCGCTTTGACGCGCACGCCGCCTGGTGTGCTCTGGTTGAGAGGACCATTGGCTAGCCCAGAATGTACATGCACATGCCATATCCCTCCGCAGATCCGGATAAGAGTGAGGGGGAGTCATCGGCAGCTTGCGACATTCGGAACCCGATGTGAAGAAGCCCGCCGCAGGCGCCAGCTTTTTTCAAAACAATGTGGGTGTGTGTCGCGGATGGGTCGTCTGCGGGGCCGGACAATCGCACGGCGTGTTGCGGGCCAGGTCGCGGTGCCGGTCGCGGCTGCGTCGCGGGGGCCGCACGCGGCTGGCTGGCGGGACGGGGCGCGGGTGTGTCGCGGGGCGGGCAGCGGGGCGGGCAGCGGGGCGGGCCGCGGGAGGGCCGCCGGCGTGCCGCGGGTGGGTCGCGGGGCGGGTCCCGGGCAGGTCGCGGGGCGGGGGCCCGCAGCGAGACGGCGACAGTCTGCACAGCTGGAGCCCGCTACAGCGACGCGCCCAGGGGCTGTGTGAGACCGATCGGTCCCATCGCTCTGACTTGGGGCAGGCACATCGCTCTTCTGCGTGTCTGGAGTAGTGAAGCGTTGTGGCTCGTTGCCCCGGGAGCGGGGCACTCCTCGACGACATCTTGCGTCCAGCGATCAAGCGGGGTTTCACGCAGGGGCCACGCGAGGACAGCCCAGAGCAGAACCCGTCGCGATGGAGGGGAACGCAGGCCGTGAGAGGTGAAGCAACGACGCCTTGCGTGAGAAATATTAGGAGGAGAAGATGGATCGGACAGGGCTGGGACGAGGATAAATCCGCTCCAGAGCGTCCCCGAGCGTTCCAGAACGCTCCCAGAGCGTCGCCCTCGACATCATCCAGAACTGCCAGAACTCAGAGATTTTCAATTTATCCTCACCCCTCTTTCTCCTCGTCCTGTAAGGGACGAATTGGGGCGAGCAGAAGGAGGAAGGGAGGGCTCCCGCGATGTCACAGGGAGGGAGGGGGGGAGGGCACCCGGAGGTCGATGCCACTGCCCGTTTTCCAGCTCCAGGGACCTCCAAAGGACCTCCGAAGCAACATCCAAGAAGCCCTTCCTACCCATACCCATCCTCCTCAGAGCTATTTTCCTCCTCCTCCCTCCATCCTCCGTCCTCCCTCCCCTCCATGTCATCCCCTCCTTCGCTTCGTGCTCTTTCTTCTCCCCTCTGTCCTCAATGCTTCTCCTCCGCCTCCCCTTCTGATTTCGGGAGGCTGCATAGATGCGCTGCTTCTGGCACTCGATTGTACGAGTCGACATGTTCCACGCTCCCATCGGTGTGAGCCGCCCACGCAGGGGGGCCAGCGGCTTTGTCTTCCGTGGGAGTGCCAAATCAAGTGCGGCTGCGGAGGACGCTGCCAATACCAGGGACGAGGATAAGGAGGACGAGAACAGGAAGAGGTGGACGACGCCAAGGAATAGTAGAACGACGACAATCTTGTGGAGGAGGAGCAGGAGGATGAGGAGGAGGAGCGCGACGAGGGGAAGAATAACGAGGAGGCTAACGAGGGGGAAGACTGAAGGATGAGGCCGAGAGTAAGGAGGAGTGAGGAGGACGACGAGGAGGCGCGCAGGGATGAGGGCGGCCATCATAATAGGATGAGTTTCATTGGGGATTTTCGCATAAACCAACTGCTTTTCCACGTGCTCCCTTCACGCGTTTCGTTTCAGGGGAGGTGTTTCCTCTGGCAGCCACACGCAGGCAGAAACATAGTAAGCCGACGACGATTCTGGAAGAGTGGGCTACAGACGCTTCTTTGTTCAAGCTTGCGCATGCTGCAGGCAGGGAGCCTCGGCCGACGTATGAGGTCTTCAGGTCTGGACCCCAACATCCACCAGACGTGAATCCCCAGAGTCATTCAGGAATTCAAGGCTCGCCGGGCTGATCTCCACGGCGCGCGCGTGCTCCGCCGCCAGCGTGTGCGGAAAGGGAGACGAAGGCCCGCTTCGACTGCTCCAGCGCAGACATGGTCCTTGCGAGCAAGAATGGCGCAATGGCGGCAGACCTCGCGGCAACGAAATAACAAGGATAATGGCCAATGTCGGAGATGATGACGCGAACGACGAGGGCCTCATTGGCCTTCTGCAGGCGTCGCGGCGACGCGATGCGGGGCTGGGGCTTCGCGGGACCTCTGCGCAATGGCGTCGGATGTTTCAGCCAGTTTTTTTTACGTCTGGGTTTTGCCGTATTCCGCTTGACCTATATGTGATAATAGTTCACGCTTCACGTATCCCCACCAGCCTATTCAGAAACCCTCACACAGTACATATCAAAACGGGCAACCAGGGTGAACAGAGAAGTCTCTGGAGCAAGAGGGCGGCCTTGGAGGGCCTCTCCGGGCTATCCCTGGAGCCCGCGTGGGGGCGAGTGAAGGTGGAGGAGGCGTATTAGGAGGAGGAAGACGACGACGACGACCACCACGACGCCGAGGAAGAGCAGGAAAAAGAAAGGTTGACGATGAGAGTAAGGAGGAAGAGGAGGAGGAGGAGCAGGAGGAGGAGGACGAGACTGAGTAAGAGGAGGGGGGGACAACGAAGACGAGTGCAGAGCCCTCAAACTTGTTTCTTGGAGCACTTTGGAATCTCTTTGGGGGGATCTTGGTGTCCTCAAGGGTCCTCTTTGGGTTTATTTGGCGGGTCGTGGGGCCGTCTTGAGGCCCTCTTAGGGCTCTCTTGGGACCCTCTTGGGAGCTCCCTCCGAGGGCCATTTTGGAGGCCATCTCAAAAGGGGAGGAGGCCCAAATCCGGGCCACCGACATCGCCTTTTGGAGCGCTCTTGGGACGTTCTTGGGCCGATCTTGGGCGTTCGTCGACGTAACGAGGTCAGCTTAGGTGGCTCGGATGCGAAAAAGCGAGAAGACATGAATCATTGATTTCCCAAGCGTATCTGAAAGATTTGTTGCGTCTTGGGGGTGTCGTGTAAAGGGGGGCTCCGAGAGCCCTTGGGTCCGTCTTGCGGCCCTCGTCGGACCTCTTGGAGGCATGTCGGAAGCTATGTTGAAAACATCTTCGGTTATCTTGAGCCGCCTTGGAGATCATCTTGGAGCATTGGAGCCCTCCTGGAGCCTTCTGGGGCGAAAAAGTGTCCCCTTTATGACACCTCGTGGAACCCCCGACAAAAAACAATGAGCGGAGGGGGAGGGTTCCCCTCCCCGGGGGGAGGGGGTGTTTTAGGAGAGGGGAGAAAACCCGCTAGACCACCTTGGCCCAACAGGCTGGTGGGATTAATTGGGGGCGATCCCAGGATCCCGCGATCCCGCGCATCGGTCCTCTCTCTCTCGGATTCTTGGGGGGCGCGGAGATCTCCCAGAAGTGGATTCTCACTGTGCGCGCGCGGGCGCAGTGCCTTGTTCGGGCTCCGCAGTCCACGTAAACGTTGAAAGGTGAGCCGAACAAACGGCTGCAGGAAACTGCGCCACAGTGCGTCCTCGATGTCAGTTGTCGAGCTGCACCATCGCTGGGTCAGGATGGCGGGGTGGGGAAGCAGGATGACGGATTGGCAGCTTGGGACTGACGTTTTTGGCCACATGTTGGTGTCGCCAGTGTTGTCGCCCGTCCCAGTGCTTTATTAGGCATCCGATATTCCGGTGCAACAGAGCACCACACTCACAAGGCAGAAATGCAGCTCGTCCCACCTAAATGAGGTTATGGATTTTTTGAGTGAGGGTTTCGATAGAGAGCGACATCTCAATAACCCGGGACCGTGGCCAGTAATACTTGCCCACAAGTCATCCTTACGAGACCCTTGACACCTCGCATTCTATCACCATGTAAGCAAGATCCGGGCTCCTGACACATTATATGTGAAAGTGACATGGATGGCGAAGCGAAGCGATATGTGGGCAAAACCAAGAGATGGACTGGCCCAGGCAGCCATCCAACGTGGCCAGCTTGGTGCCATCTTTGAGCCTCGTTGCGACATGCCTTGGAGCAATGTTGGACCTAGTTTGGCGCTCTCGGGGGCTCTTGTTCCTTCTTGATGCTCCATCGGGGCCTTCTTATAAGCCTTTCCAGCCCTTTTGTGGCCATCCTAGAGACAACCGGCCAAAAGGAGGAGCGACAATTCTGGTTGGTGGACTCTTGGGACTCTCCTGGGGTGCGTTTTGGTACCTATTAGGCCCTCTTGGGGCACGTCTGGGCCATTCCGGAGCCCTCTTGCGCTATCCGGGAGTCTTATTAGAGATGTTTTCATCTGTTTTCAGGTTGTTCTATGAGATTGGTCTCTTTGGGCCATGTTGAGCCATCCTGGATGCCAGCTTGGCCCGTCTGGAGCCACATTGGGGCGAATGAGGGCGCTCCAACGCCTCGCAACTAGGGGGTCATGACCCTGAGAGGGCTTCCCTTCTCATGGAGGGCCGAGCCGCCTCAGCGACGCTTTTCGCAGGGCCAGTGCAAGACAAAGCAGGAGTCTTGGACCCATCTGGGCCATGTTAGTCCATGCTGGATCCCATCATCGCTCCACGAGGCCCAGGGAAAGCCCAAAGATGACCCCGATGTGGTTTGGAAGCTTCTCAAGTATGCCCCCAAGAAGCCACAATCATTTAACAAACCATTTTTGTTTCCGTGACCTTGACCTTCTCGCTTCGTTTGTTTCCAATGCATGTCGAGGGCCGAATAAGGATTCCGAAATGGAGCGATTGGGCTTTAAGGAGCCGACAAGAACTTTCAAAGAGAGACCCAATAGGCCCCGCTCAAGTGCTCAGCTCCAAGACCCCGCCCAACAAGGAATCTCGGAATCTCGCAATTGCATGCCCCAAAGTGGTTTGAGGACGGCCCCAACAAAGCCTCGATAACCCTCCGAAGAACATCAATCTAGTTTCAAGGGTCCCCCCCGCCACTCCAATTCGATGCTCCAAAGGCGGCCAGCACGGCAGACTGCCAGACCCCTCCAGTCCAAAGGCGAGGGTGAAGTGTTGTGGCACGAGTGAAGGACATGGGTATCACGGTGGTCCCTTTGCAGGCCCGAACGCGAGTTAGAGTTCGTTGATGGAGAAGTTAGTCTGCACAGGCCACATTCGCAAGGGGGCGTCGATTGGTTGTTAAGATCAGGGCCTAGTTTCTCATGCCACGCGTTCTTATCGGCGCCCCCGTCTGCTACATTATCTGTGTAGAGTTTCGGAGGCGCTAGTTTTATATGTTTGTATTATCAGCATTTGCGCTAGCAAGGTCACCCCAGCGTCGGCGGATGTCGCTGTTTTGAAGCAGGAGCCACGTCAAAGACGGACTCGCGTACATGCCATTCGTCGCGCCTTCCCAGCCGAGCGCTGGAGGAGGGAGTTTTATACGGCACCTGCACCTTTGAACCTGCACCTTGGCCTTGCTTCGTCCTCAGCGACGCCAGTGCTTCTGCGAGACGCCTGTACTCCCCTGGCAGCACTGCAGGAGACGAGGAGAGAGAGGGGGACATGAGGATAAGGAGGAGGAGGAGGAGGAGGACGAAGGGGCGGAGGCTCCCCTCTTCGTCTCTGCATGTGAACGTCGAGCAGAGCACGACGTTTTCTCGTCTTTTGCGGCTCTGATGCTCCGCCCAGCAGCCCTTGCACTGAGACCCAGAATGTGTGCAGCCTCTCACGCTCGAGCGATCGTGGCCTCAGGCGCTGGCTTAAGCCTCAGTGCCTGGGCTAAAATAGAGCTGTAGATCAAGCCAGTTTTGCTTCTATGTGGGGCACTCGAAGTGTAGCAGCTCCTCTTCACCCCCCGCCGCCTTGGAGTACAGCAGACGATCGCGACGACAATGGCGGCGGCGACGGCGCGCCCCCTCCCATGAGGTCCATGCTTGCCGACGCCGTGCCTATGGCGGCGGACCGCGCGCGGGCGTTCGCGGCCTACTTCGCCGTCGGTGCTGCCGGCCAGGTTGCCCCGCGTGGACGTCGTCGCCGCCGCCGCCGTCGGTGCCGCTGGCCAGGCCGCTCCGCAGAGACGCATCGGGCCTCGTCCAATGCTGTTGGATCGGGCTGGCGGTGGGCAGACGTCACCGATTGGGGCGGGGACCCCTGGCAGGGCTTCTGGCTGTACGCGTACACAACCGGCCTCAGGCGGGCCCAAACGGGAGGGCCAGGCGGCGGCGGCGGCGGCGACGACCTGGGCAGGTGGGCGCGCAGCTGTGCGCCGCCGTGCTGCTGGGCTGGCGCCTCGACGGGCCGGCCGGGGTTGCACCCCACCCCCGCGGCGAAAGACGATCACGTTTCCAGCTCGGGAAGGCTTCAGGGCTGAGCACAGGCGGCCCGCAGAGGTAGTTCTGAAGGTTGTAGTTGCCCACAGGCTCCCGCGAGGCGGCGCCTGGGTGCGGTAGCCGCCCGAGGCTGCCCTGGGGGCCTGTTGAGGCCAGCGTGAACCACTAGTACATGTGGGGGCTCCCTGTGCACAACCCTGACCCCTGCCTGTGTAGGTCCTCGGGCGGTCAGATTCGAGGACGAGGTGAAGGTAGCTTGACCCTGCGCGGTGAGCGTGGATTCGTGGCCTTGCAACGGGTACCACGGGCCAAACGCATTGTCAAGATATTTGCGGCATGTCCGCATCTCGGGGGCGCAGATGTCACACAGAAAGCCTCCAACGATTAGGACGTCCGATGCTTGACTACAGTGACAGTAGCTCCTCATCATTTTTTGGTGCGCCTGATGCCTGACTCCAGGAGCAGTCGTCCCTTTACCCTGACGCTGACGCTCGCACGTGGCCCACCAAGGCAGTGCCTCGTGCGTCAGATGTGCGTGGCCCGTACCAGGGACAGCAGGGTGCCCGCCCAACAGGTACCCCCGGGCGCCGCACCCGAGCTGTTTAGCGCACGGTGCCCCATCCAGGCTTGCACCATACAGCCTCTGGCACCATGCATCCTCTGCAAGCGGGCTCGTCCCCCTCCTCCTCCTCCTCCTCCTCCTGGTTCTCCTCCTCCTCCTCCTGCTTCTCCTCCTTCTCCTCCTTATCCTCCTCCTCCTCCTCCACATTTACACCCTATAAATACCACTCTCCTCTCTCCCCTGATGACGTCCAGAAGATATCTGGCCCCCCTCTCGCACTGTTGTTTACACAGGATTCCCGGGAAATGGGTTTTCGCTTGGCTTTTTCTGTTTTCCAAAGTGTGGTTCCCGCTGAAGCGCTGGCCCCATTTCTGCGCCTCTGGTTGTTCCAAATCATGCTCCCGCTGCAGCGCGGGCGTTTTCGGTCCTTCCAGACAGGCCCCAGAATCTAGAAAATGCCCCCCGAACAATATCACGGGAAATGATTCCATATGCGTCGTCGCGTTCAGGAAGTATACAGCGGGAGCCCCGTTTCTGCTTTGAGAAGGCGATGTTGGAAGCAGAGCCAGCGGGTACTCTCCATCAGCCCCGCCCTGTGTCGGGCTTCTCGGGGAGCCCAAGGGGCTAGACATGGAGCCACGACTCCAGGCCGGCCCAGACCTCCCGAAGACGATCCACTTACCCAAGGATCCCGGCGCCATGCCATGACATGCTGTGCGGTGTTGCGTTCTGCGCCGCTGTGCGATGCCATGTTTTGTGATGCAATGCTTCACTGCGCAATGCCACGCCATGCAATGGCATGCTACGCTCTTCCGTGCTCTTCTATGCCATACCATGCCGTGCTCTACCATGCATCGCGTACCATCTCGCGATTATTGCCCTGCTCGACATCCGACTGTGCGAACACAGAGGATATCTACGCTATGGTAAAGGATTTGAGGGAAGGGTAGGACGTTATACATGATGCGAGCGCACCTAGTTTGTCCGCCTTCTCCTTCTCCTCCTCCTCCTTCTCCTCCTCCTTCTCCTCCTCCTCCTCCTCTCCTCCGCCTCCCCCTCCTCCTCCTCCTCCTCCTCCTCCTCCTCTTCCCTGTCCTCGTCCTCCTCCTTCTCCTCCTCCCGATCCTCCTCTTCCTTCTCCCTCCTCCTCCTCTATCTCCTCCTCCTCCTCCTTCCTCCTCCTCCTCCTCCTTCCTCTCTTCTCTCTCCTCCTTCCCCTCCTCCTCTTCTCCTCCTTTCCTCCTCTCCTTTCCTCCTTCCCTCCTCCTCTCCTCCTCTCCTCCTCCTCCTCCTCCTCCTCCTCCTCCTCATCCCCCCTTTTCCGCCCTGATGAAGATCTCCGGCGAGGGGGCGCGGGAGAACGGGCAGGGGGGCGCCGCCTGGCCCCAGAAGGGGCCGCGCGATGCCGCACGCACCTCGCCCTGCGCCTCCTCGGGGGAAGGCTTCCCTCGCCGCCCGCTTGCGGCTGGGCTGTGCGGCCTGGGGGGTGGGGGGAAAGATCCAGGGCGCTTGTTGGTTTTTGCTGTGTGCGGTCGAGCCGAGTTACAAGATCGAGGTCGTCTCGGGGAGATTGTGCCCTGATGTTTTCGCTTGTGCTCGTCTCCAGGGAAGGTTTCCCCCGCCGCCCGTTTGTGGCTTGGGTGTGCGGCCGGGGGGTGGGGGGAAATGATCCAGGGCGTTTTTGTGCCTTGCTGTGTACGGCCGGGCCAAGGTACAAAATTGAGGTCGGCTCGGGGAGTGCACCCTGATGTTCTTCGTGCTTGTCTCAAGAGAAGACCTCCCTCTCCGCCCGCTTGATCCAGGGCGCGTTTTGTTCTTTGCTGCGCACGGTCGGGCCGAGATGCAAGATCGAGGTCGGCTCTGGGAGTGTACCCTGACGTTTTTCGTGCCTGTTGGATGCTGCTGTGGATCCTGGGGGAGGGCACGGGCCGGCGGAGGGTCTCATGTGCTTCAAGCATGTTTTTTCTGGTGTGCGTCCGCCAGTGGTGCCGACCAGTTGTGCTGTGTCGCCGCGAGCTCTGCCCCGTCAGGGGCGTACCAGAGCTCGTGTGCACGATCGGCTCAGCGTCTCGTGCGGCTTCTCGAGCTGCATCCGTGCTGTGGTCGTCGGTCGTGATCGGGCCTGCGGTCGCGCTCCGCCCTGCGGCTCGCTCAGGTCTGCACCCGGACTCGTTCACGGCCATCTGGTGCGCGCTGAGCGTCCTGCTGGGTGCCGACGTGCTTTGCGGGAGGGCCGGCGCCTTCCCGCAGACTCGTCCTGGGTGCCTCTGAGCCGCATCGCAGGCCTCCGGATGTTATCTTGGACAGGTCTTTCTGTGTGCTAGCGCCAGCGTGAGCTGTCTTGGAGGGCCAGTGAGCCCCAGAAGGCCACCCCGAGGACTCAGGACGCTTCTGTAATCCAAACGGTGATCGATCCGCGTTTCCTGTCATACGATGTGTGTTCACCCCATGTCAACGATCATTTGTAAAGTGATCTGGTGCCCGTCGCGGCTCTCCAGCCAATGCAAGCCCAGAGCATGAGTCGCGGTCCAGGCAAAAGAAGCACCCGTTGGGAGCCAGCTGATTCGTGTGGATGTTGGTCGCGGAGACGCTATCGGTGCCCGTGAGCGCGAACCTCGTCTCCCCATCTGCGTCCTGGGCATGCTCATCTCCCTCGCCGCGGACCGCACTGGAGGCCTTGGGGGTATTGGATCGGGGGGGACATTCCGACTCGCGGTTCCAAGCCATGGAAAGCCCAGCCCGTTCGCATTGTTTGTCCCTCCCTGGGGGAACGCTCGTTATCTGGGTCACCCCCCACACACACACCCGGGTAACGCGAACGATCGTACTGGAGTGGGGTGGCCTGGACCTTGCCTTACATGCTGGGGGCACACAGGCCATTGGTGCGCTGGTGGCGCAGACGCACCCTGGCGGGTGCACGCCGCGGCCGCCGTTACGGTTACCTTTCCGCCCGACCCTCCTCCGCCCTGGGTAACGGCCGTTAGTTAGGAGAGAACAAAAAACGGTCACCAACGTCAACATCCTGTTACCGCCGTTCCAAATGTCGGCATCCGATCTTGCATCATGAGCCTCACAACGACTCCCAGACCTGTCAACTGACGCGTTCCGACCAGAACTTCGAGGTGGATCCAGCCGTGGCGACGAGGGCGGCCCAGGACGCGTGATAAGGAGAACAACATCGATTAACGAGAAAGTCTGATACAGTCAACTCACATAGTAAAGATGATCGACTTACCAAGGGTACTTGTGCATCCTTGCCTCTTCGGTCATCTTCGGTTCATCCTCACTCATCGTTGGTTATTGAGAAACTGAGGTCCCACCAACAGGGGGTGACTCGTTTGTTTGTTCAGCGGCACCCGCCGCGCAATGAAGAGGAGGAGGAGAAGGTTTCCGGACCGAGAGAAAAGGGGGGGGGTCCAAGACGAAAGACCTTTAGCGGTTATACGGGTTGATTGTACCTCGACCCTTGGAGCATCGTCGTTGTGCGAGGTGCGCCGTGCGAGCTCTCCTCGGCCCGGTCGACACTGAGCGCCGTCCATTGCAGGTTAGTCTTCGCGTGATTCTGGGTTTGCCCACAGCCGGACCGAGGTATAAGACCCAGGTCGGTTCGGGGAGGGTGCCATATTTTTTTTCTCGTGTTTGTTGGATGTTCTCCTGCACCCTGCTTGTGTTGGCCGAGGGAAGGTCTCGTGTTCGTGAGAGATGCTCTTCTGGCCTAGGTCCGACTGTAGTGATTCTGGGTTTACCTATCCATGCAAGGTCTTTAGAATCCCTTCGATACGAGTAGGGGGTAACTGACTATTTCTTTCGGCGGCCTTATTGAAGGACCAGGGTCCCACCAATAGGGGGTAACTAATTATTTTTGGTCCGCGTCACCCGCCGCGCAACAACGGCGAGGAGGAGGAGAAGGAGGAGGAGGAGGAGAAGGGAGGAAGAGAAGAAGGAGGAGGAGGTTTTAGGACCAGATCTATTTTCCGCCGAGAGAAAAGTGGGGAACCAAAAGTAAAGACCTTTAGCGGTCAGTGCATTTTGTTGGTAGCATTGTTTGCAGGCGATCGGGTTACAGCAGCAGGGTGAG